CCAAAGAGGTTTTGGCTACTGAGGCTTTCTTCCTTTTAACTGTCTTGCCTTGGATTGTCACCCCGCAAGGTGTGAGATAAAGCTGAGCTCTAAAGGAGCTGACAGTGTTTGCGGCTGCACGGTGGGTGTTCAGCCACCTTGCAGGGCTGGGTTATCATTTGCTTTATTGTGTGATGTGTTCATTGCTCCGTGCTTGCAACAGATCAGGTTTTTGAAACGGAAGCACACGATGTTTGCAACAGCAACAAGAGAGCAGAGTAAATGTACGAATACCCAAACCTCTGTGTCAGCCAACACTTGTGCTACTGGAAGCTTTCTCTGCGACATGGAGTTTAAATGTCAGAAATACTCTCCGAAACACAAGTTTGTGATCTCCGTGTGCGGCCGTCACAGGGTCGGCATTTTCAATGCGCTAAGACAGCTCGGTGGCAGCTGAAATCTTGGCCAAAATGCTGGGGTTGAACTAGAACTAAAGCTGAAAGCCCGGCTTACTCAAATGCAAATTGAAGATCTCCATTTGAGCTGTAGCAAATTGACGTTGGCTATGTTATGGAATTGAAGCTTTTAGTGCAGATGATTGTGGAGGCACAGAGATACGAACCTACAGGCTTTGAAACGCCTTCCTGAGGTTCTTTTAGCTTCTGCAACTATCTCTTGCTGGTGCATGGCACTTAGTGTTAAGACATTGGCTAGATGGGTTTGACTTTGGATATAAATACATAATGGATGCTAGAGCCAAACTTCAGGATAAAATAGGCCATGTGGTTTTCACAATGGAATAATATGAGCAATTAAATTAATAGTGTACTAATGAGTTAAGCCTTAGATGTTTATAAATTAGGTAACAAAGGCACTTTATACTAAGATGTCTGTGCTGGATATTAGTGAATTCAGGCCATGACTTTCAAGATATTTGCAAAGTTCATGTTCGACAACGTTGGGCTTTTTTGACATTGTATGTCAATGTGATTTTTTTGTATCCATGAAGAGTGCCAGTGGAAAGAGTTTACAAAGGTGTGAGTAAAACGGGAAAGTTTGGAGAGAGACTCTTTCTATGGATGAAATATCTCAAATCTATTGCTTGTTTTTCTATTACCAGCTGAGAAATTGCATTGCTGAAAATAAATGCTAGGAAGCTTACATGAATATAGTAATAAGCAAGTTTAAACTTTGTCTTGCTGCAACCACTCTGAAGATATTTACCATAACACATTTAATAACTTTCACATTATTTATTAAGATGAACTCTATTTAACTCGCCTATTTTTAATCTAACAGCCAATATACAAATCATCCAGTACATATTCTGTAGTGAGTTATGAAAAAAAAAGCTCATCTATTTGATTATATGTTAACTTGGAATGTATACTTTCAATCCATGGAATAAAAGATTTGAGCAGAAAAAAAGGTCTAACTTACTGAACAATATTACCCATTACAAATTACTTTTTCACCTCTCATCAGCATAATACCTTTATCTCAGAGTAGAATGGAAGGCAGGCATTAATATTCAAAACCAACACAGGGCATTAGATATTACCCATCACTGTACAGAAGATCCAGAAATAGATTATTTACTGTAAGGGGGATAATCAAAGAAAGCTAATCAAAAAGCTAATCAAAAAGAATATTTAAAGTTGCTTTGATCATGATCCATAGGTACATATACAGAGTGAAGATGACAAGTACTAAAGAATCTTCGAGCTTTCAGAGATGAATGCGTAATATAAATTGCTGGAAATTTGCACGGGACAGGTAAGATCCCAGTTTGTAAACTGGGGAGAACCGGGGGACAACCATGAAACAAATTATCTATTAGATGGGTTATGGTAAATATTCTATTATTAAACTGTTTAAATGGGGACTGTGTAGCTTTCTCAAAATCAGCCTCTGCTTTTCTCTTCTGGCACCCACGCAGGCAGATAAGGGTGCAGTTCTGTGCTGGTTTTGTGCAGGAAGCCAGATAATTCATCAATATGAGCCCATCTGGCCTTAAAAATCTGTCAGTACAAACCTTGCAGTGTGCCTAAGAGGAGGCATAGAGTCACGTGGAACAGATTACTGCTGAAGAAGAAATGTGTAAGAGTTAATAATGAGGAGCGCAGTGATTTGAGGATTTTAAGAAGAGTTTTGAAGAAAGAGGACTCCTGGCAGTTGATGTCAGAGATAGAAGTTCAAAGGAAACTATAAAACCAAAATCAGGAGAAGAAAACCAAAGGAGATACAAGATAAAGACTGCTCTGAGCATGAGGAATAGATCAGGAGAGAAAAAAACACTGTTTTAGAAGTAGGATAAACAATAAAGAGGTTTGCAGATGTGAATTAAGGGCCTGAATTTTTTTGCGGTAAAGACGTCAGTTGAAGGATTCGAGTGGTCTGTACAATGTCTTGGAACTATGAAAGAAGTAGAAGACAGACTGTGAGGAGAAAAAGCCTTTTCCAACAGTTAAAAGAACCATGAAAAGAAGAAACAAAAGTATTCAATGACACACAAGAAGATTATATACGTGGCCCACTGATCAAAGCAAAGAGTGACATATCTAATCTAAAAATCTTTCTTCACAGAAGTAAAAAACAAACCGTCCTGTTTGCCATCTATTCTCTTCCTCCTCAGAAAAATTTGCTCACAGTTGTGAGCCAACGCCAGCGAGTTCTGGGGCAGAGGAGCAGTTTGCAAGAAAAGCGTGCATCAATAGCTGTTGCTTTGGTTACAGAGGCACACGAGCACGTATAATCATGACAAGTTATTTCCAGCTTTACGCCGTGGAAAAGAGAGGATATTAATAAAAAAAGACTTTGCTACCTCTGCTTGGTCTCTCTGTGGTGGAGAGTCCCAGCACAGTGTCACATGCTCCATCATCCTGCCTAATTGTCGCCGTGTGCTCTAACGACATTGAAACCACCCGTGATGCTGAGTGCACAGAACTCATCAGCTCAGGGAGGAAAAGGTTGTTACTGGTGCTGAGGATATCTCCTCATGAACAACGTTTCTTAAGTGCTGGCTATTAACTTGAGTGGGAGTGGTGCTGGGCACCCAGCTGCCTCTGCTGCATGTGTGTCAGCACAGACATACCGCTGAATCCTTAGCCCAGCCCACGCTAAGCCATACGCACAAAATCCACAAAATTGCAGAGCAATCTCTGTCCCCCAGTGAAAATCGAGCTCGGCGGGGGATTCAACAAGTGGTTAGATCTCTACTGATATTTGAAAGCCTCTGCAGACAAAGATGACAGCAGCTCAGGTTCAGAGAAAGGAGGAGTGGGTACAAAACCAACAAGGTGATGCCTCTTGATACTATGGGGGGTCCAGGGATGCCCACGCAGGAACTCTCTGTCACAAAGGAATAAGAGCTCTGAGGTCTGGACTGAAGCAGAGATGAACCAGAGTCCTACCGTGGCCAAACTCCTTTGGCCCTTGTTATCTAGAAGATGATGGTAATGGCTGGAAGCGATTCAGTAGCCCCACTTTTATTCTGGTTCATTCCCACCTTAGCCCAACCACAGCTTCTGGTTTAGGCTCCACGAGGAGGCATCATGATGAAACTTGTCCTTCATGCCACTTTGTCAGCCCTGTTACATGGCAGGACAGTCTGAACTCCCAGGGGAGAGGACAGCTAAGACAGCTCCTCCTTTAAAGGTTTATTCTTTGAAGCTTCATGTCCATGACATCAAGAAGGTGAAGTCAATGGATGCCAGTGTTGAGAGACAAAAAAAGATTCTCCATTTGTAGAAATGACCCCTTCATAAAACGAGTTTGATTTTAAACGAGTCTGACCCAGTGGGGAAAAAAAATCAAACTGTTCTGTACAGAAGAAATTCTCTGCTGGAAAGCCTATAAGAAAGTTCACAGGCACTGCAAACACTAGCCCAGTAGGTAATTCTCTGAATGAGATGCACTTTGCACTCACAGCAGTACTGAAATTCAGCAGCTCCCAGGACTGAGATTTATTCCATTTTACCAATAAGAATGCAACTAATAATAGTTTTAAAAAGGAAGAATTTACCACAGGAGTAAAGATAAGAGATGAGATTCTGATCTCTATTATTCTGGCTTATGTCAGACGTATTTTGCACCACTTTACATGAAGTACAGATGCCCTCACAGAATAAACCCAAAATAAATAGGATCAGAGTCAGACTCTGAAGTTTTACCACAAGGAATATATGTTGTTCCTAGTATCATTAAATTCCCTGTATGGACAAGGAAGACTTGAGGGCCAGGACCACTCTGGGAGGCAGAAAGGTCTTCTGCCGTGTGAGGTCCCAAAGCTGCACTCCCCCTGAAATGCACTTTGGTTGCAATGAAACCAGTGGAGTGAAGGCTGGGACACCCCTGGCAGGGAGAAGATCCCGCAGCGACAAGCCTCTCCCAGCAAAGGTTCTAGGGTCTGTTCACCTCCAAGTTTGTGTAAGAGCTCTCCTCAGCAGAAGGGGTACCCTTAAAGTTAAATTTGTGCTGATGTGGCTGAACAGCCATGTCAAAAAGTATCACTCAGGAGACGAGTCTCGTTGAAGTCAATGGTCTAGTCCCCACATAAGTGATCTTTGCAGACCGGGGTCTTACCCAGCCATCCTTCTCAGAGCACTTTAGGTTCCTCTGAGACCATAAGTTACAGCCATTTTTTTTGACTCCCCTTCTGGTTGAGGAGTTTGGAAAGGTGTCAGAGTATTAGTAACATGCAAATGGCAAAAGGAATTGTCACTAAGGTAGGAAGATTCCACAAAAAAAATAGCTTTGGGGACTATACAGTACCCAGAATTAAATTTTATAGCAGTCCATAAAATTGAAGTATGAGCCAAGGGTTAACAACCTTGAATTTTGCCCTTAAAATTAGTCCAAGAAAATCTACTTCATTATAAATACAGTAGTACTATAGAGTGTCCTGTTGATTGATATGCCCAAAAGCTACCTTTGTCGGCAGTCTTTTAAGCAGTAATCCTTCATTTTGGTCTTAATAGTCAGATAGGCACCTCCTTCCTCATCGGGCTATCAATTCTTACCTCCCAATACTGTTTGATGAGATTGCTCGTACGCTGCTCAGTGCCTCCTGTCAGCCAGTATATATATTCAGCAATCATGACGCTCCTGATGACAAAAAACAGAATAAATGAGCGTGGAGAGAGAGAAGGATGTATATAGCAATATTTAAAGGAGGTAGTATTAAAAGAGGGTAACATGAGATTTGCATCAAAAGGTTACACATAGCTCTCGGTCTTTGTCTAACTTCAAGACAAGCATTAGTAACTATTTTTTAGCTAGCTAAACTATCTGCAAGCAAACAGCCTTACATTTTCTTTCAATAGCTTTTCCATATTTTTCTCCAAGCAAATATTTAATGACTGCTGCACAATATTTTAGTCTGGCTTTTCTTTTTCTTTCTTTCTTTTTTTTTTTTTTTACTTTAAAGTATTTGTGGGTGAAATACATCATCATCATGATGATGATATGTGAGTACATTTCTTCTAGGATGGCATCAACACGTATAACCCTGTAGCTTGGCAGTCTGCAAATATCACTTGTCTGTGGCAAACTCAGACACAGTTCACCTTTGTTTAAACTATATCTTATTAAAAACAACCCAAACTAAAAGTAATCAGCTATCTTGCTAACTAATTGAGTATGCTTTAGTACTCCCACTGTCTGTGACAATCATTGCATTACTCTTTCTAGGCTGAGGGATATTAAAAAACTATTGTGCAACGGATTTAATGTAGAATCTTAACAGACTTTAGAAAATCAGTTTGCTTTTATGGCTGCCTCTCCCGACTGCTCTCTGTTTCCTTTCCTCTAGAGATTCCAAATCCAATTAAATGTGACTAGATGTAATTCCAAATTGTCACTTTAGTCAATTAAACATATAATAATCTTGTGTACCTAATTACTAGCACCAAAAGTTTATTTGTTGATGTAGTGCTATCAATGTGTACTTCTGCATGTTCCCGTTATCATTGCCTATATATTAATTGTGCTTTGACATTACTGTAAATTGAATTTGAAATTTCCCCCTAGTTAAAAGTGTCTCACAAACAGTAATCCCAATCCTGTTGTAATACCCTTTCAAAATGTACTTTCCAAGGCTGTATTATGTTCTTAATGAGATATAACCAAAAATACACGGATTTAACAATAAACATTTCAAAGCAGGCCCAGTATCAGGGGGTAACATATTGTTACAAACAGGAACTAAATCTTCCCTTAGATGTTCTCATACAGCTCCCATTAATTTCACTGGAAGAAAAGCAATTCAGTAGGATCCATGGGTTTCTGCATAAGGATTGGATTTAGCCATAAGCTTTATCCAATGCTCATTCAAATCACTGGCAACAATCCTCTCGATTGCACTAGAACAAAGAGCAATTTCTAATTGAACATCGTTAGCCCAGCCGGCACAGGATGAACAAAGGATGAAATCCTCATTGCCTTGAAAATCACTGGCAAAACTCTCATTGACTCCAAATGGTGCCAGGGTTAATCTCAGGAATGACATATGGGTCCTGTGGATGAAGGTGAGCAAAGCATTTGGCTTTGCCTGCTCGACCTGGTGATGGTTTTGAGGTAAGAACTTCACCGTGTCCTGAGGCACAAAAGGGAAATAACTATGCAACAGAAAATTGAGGGAAGATAATGAATGTCATGTCATTCTGTACCTTTAGTCTACTGGAAGTGGTCTAGAAAGCCTCCAGCTGCTGTGGCAATGGCAATAGCCAGCTGCCAGCAGTGTGTGTGGGTGGTGGGAGCCTCCTGCAACCACCTTGTCAGAAAGAAGATGCTTTCAATCTAAATCTAGAGAAATTCTCAAACACTAAAGCCTTGTCTTTTTTGGAGTTGAAGGATATTTGTAAGTGGTCCTTTGCAATTTGGGATCCTACTGATACATGCTTCCCCAAATGCTGTCATTTCAAAGATGAAAGCTGGCAAATCCTTAAGCCTCAACACCGCCCCGCTGCTCTCCCAGCATGGCACTGCCTCCAAAGGTGGAGGTGTACACAGAGTCCCGGGCAAATTCTCAAACATGTTGCTTCATCTTTTTCTGTTTCTCAGCATCAGCTGTAAAACGTGGATGATCATATTCAACTTATTTGGCGTGTGAGTCCTCCTGGAGCAATCTTTTGCTGATTCTTCGCAGCATGCTCAGCACAACGCTGCTCAGCTCCTGGCAGAGGTCTCCAGGCATCGCTCCACTCCAGACAAACGCCTTTCCTCATTATTCTTCCTTCTTAATTTGTTCTAATTTGAATAATCAGAAGTACACTTACATTTCCCGTGTTCGTGTTTAGTTTCTCAACATCTGCTTTAATCCATGTTAGATTTTTCCTGTACTGCTGCGCGTTACCTCAGGAACAGAGAGGTGCGTACACAGAACCCGGCCGAGCCTTTCGACTGCCTCCACCTCAATTTCACTTCTCAGTTCCTCGGCCATCAGGGAGCACACACAGGTCAGGACTGATGCTTGCTGCCGTGACCTCAGGGCTTATGAGAGACTTAAAAATCTCCACTTTCAAAAAAACACGAGCATTAAGGCTCAATGTGTATGGCCTGTGTCCAACCCCAGACGTGCCCATGTCAGAGAGTTTTCTTTGGAGGCATCCAAGGCTCAGTTCACAGAACCAAAGTGGCACATGCAATAGAGAACTATGAATTTCCAGGACAAGGATGCAGGTGAAATTATGCTGTCTAAATGTGGTTACAGGGCTGGACACCGAAAAATGTTTAGGGACCTAAACTCTCAGAAACCAAAAGACAGATTGAGATATTTAGGCAGGTTAAAGGCCTGGATCCAACTCAAATACACAAAGGCATAAAGCAATGAGGTGGAAGCTCCCAGGGAGCATCCCTCCACGTGACCCATAGAAATCCAAGTAACAACAACTTTCAGTAAGAGACTGATGAGCCCATGAGACTTAAGTAAAATATTATTTAAGGAAATACTATTTATACAATCATTATTTAAGATTCTCAGCCAGTGACTCAACTCATCAGCATCTTTTTCTCCCTCCTACAGCAGCATGAAAGCCTATCGCGTGCAAACATCTCAAGACACCATAGTTGTTTTAATTTATTTTTTGATGGCTTCATGACTAGCAGCATTCCAGTAAAGCTGACCAACCTTCCTTCAGTGATGCAGCTATCTGGAAGTTTTCTTCTTTGTTTGGAGAGCCCTTCTTCATTTTAAAATGTACTCATTTACGATAATTTTTCACACTCTACAATGAAATGCTTCCATTTCCTATGTGTACTGAGCAACAAAAGAGAAATTTATTTTCCCCAAACTGAGACAAAATATATAACAAAAAGAGGGCTGGAATTCAAATGATCTGACCCTAAAGCTTCCCTTCTTCTGTCTGATGAAATAGTCAGGAGAACAGGTAAAGAATTTAGCTGAAATAGTCACTTATATAAGTAACTCTGCAATTCAGATTATTCTTGCCATTTCTGTTCATATATATACATCACTCCACTCTCTTCTTGTTTGGTTTAGTCGAGTATTATACTTTCACCTGTACTAAATATATGCAGTGTCTGTTTTAAAAAAGTTTGAAAATTAGTTGCAGAACCAGCTGTAACCTTCTTTTCTGCTTTCACATTAAAAGAATTGCTCCAATCTGCAGACTGATAAAACACTAAATACAGATCAACAGGGGAATCTGTAATGACTAGACTAGCCATCCATTGTGAATTATAGTCAATTTTATGCATAAAATTATAGGTTGGAATGAAGCATACAAAAGTCTAGAGCATACTGCAGGACTGCATTTTTATTAAAGGTTTATGGCGATAATATATGTCTTGAGAATGAAGCTGAGTTGCTTCATTGTTCATTGGAACTCCACAGATAAAAAGAAGCTCTGTGCTGAGTAGGGTAGGGATGGGCAGGATTAATTCCCCTCCCCAACAGGGATTTGGGAAGAGCAGAAGGCAGAAGCCCTTGAAAGAAGAAATTTCCCAATACGTTAACTGGTGCTTCCAGAAACAGAATGAGGGCACTCCCTGCCCTGTTCCAATATCAATTCTCTGTATTAAATGTGAAATGTAACGTTATCAGCTGGGATCAGCTGTTACGCCATGTGCATATCTGAGGCAAGTGATGTTGGCCAGCAACAGACTTCGCTCTGGTTTTTCTGAATGAAATGTCATCCTTTTTTTAAAATTATTTTTTACTTTTTTTAAAGGTAGTGGGATTAAACTCTAATGGTAAGGAAAAAAGATATGTGCCGTCTGTTCCTACTGCTGACACAACCACTTGGTTGGTATTCAGAAATATTGGCTTCCAGTTTACAGGACCATCCACTAATTTTGAGTTAGTGATTTGAAGTACATGCCTGAACTTCAGGTGTGCAGCCACCAAAGAAGTAGTTTTGACAATACCACTTCAGGAACACTTTAGGAGATGTCAGAGGAATTGTGGCACTTCTTTCTTTCAAAACACAAGGCTTTATATTCAAATGTTGTGGGTTTTCGCCTAATTGCTAGTTCGGGCCAGTCTGAGCTTCCATAAGACAACTAAACTCATCTGGTTTCATGTGGTAAGCCTGGATCCAAAGCTGTCTTGCAATATCTGCTCAATCTGGCCACTTGGTGGTGCAGAATAATAAGATATATTCCTGTACACGAAATGAAGAGCATGCCACACATCCTAAACTGTCTCCCTCAGCTCATCTCCAGACATGCATAGGGCTTGTACTAAAAGAGTCAAAGCTAGCTTTTACTGCATGACAGCTGCTGACACTAAGAGCCAGTGTACAGCCACATCCTTTGCAGCAGCCGCGCAAGTCTGTGACAAGAAAATAGATGGTAAGGGTGTAAGAAACACAGAGAGTTTTCTGGAGTGCACCAAAGTGTTACATTTCCAAAGAAGACAAGAAATCAGAGTTGTTGCTCAACATCCGTGTGTTCATTCATGACTGTAAATACTGAAAAAAATAGGGGGGCAAGACTCAAGGCCAACTCCTCAATCATTGAGTGCTCCCCTAGAGCTGTGCAGAAGGCAGCCCTGATGGGAAGGGGAGAATTTCTCTGTAGATGGCAGAGCCTTAGGAATAATCACAGCCTATGCACATTAGAGTAACTTTCCCTCTTCTGTGCTA